ACCGTCGATGGTTCGGTCGGTGTGACGCATGAATGTAATAGAGGCATACGAAAGACTGGACCAGCCACAGAATTAAGAGACGGGAATATTGCGGCTATCGACCAGGGCATTTCGATCATGCCGGGTCTGCCAGGCTGTTCAAAGTTTGAATAAGCTGGGAGTTCTAACTTCATAGCGCCACCGCTCAAAAACGCGAAAAGTGTGGATCAGTCAACGGGGTACAAATGCCCACCAGTACGGAGTATTGGGATAAACTCTACCTTCCTCAGCAATCGGAACGGGCCTGGTCCAGGACTGTGGCATACTGGTAGTATGCCAAGTACATATCAAAATGGCCAACCAAATATCCAGGCCACCAAAGAAGGGATATGCTGTGCAGAGGAAACAGGAAGACTCTCGAAATGTAGTGCACTACATATCGTGCGGATCATGCAACGAATAAAAACCATGATCGGTAAATCTCGGATGGCAGCCGATGGTCCTTGGATCTGGAAGGGGAACATAACCCACAGGATCAGGGATTAATGAGGGGCCGAATAAAGACCTGGGTGAGAATGCCGTAGTTGACCGGCCGGTGGAGCAACATTTAGCTCTTACCACTTCAGCACCCGCTCGTGCACCCAGAAGTCTTCGAGGTTGGATCACAGCAAGGGACGACATGTGTCCTGCTCGCATACAGACCCTACTCCTGCAGTCGAAGACTTACTTCGGTTCAGAAACGACCACATGATTCCCCACGACCTGCACTGGAGTAAAACGGTCAATCAATGTATGCGACGTGAGTCCACATCGTTGTTGTGTAGAGTACACATCTGTACAGGGTGTTTTCCTTGACATTCATTGTATTTCTGCAACAAAGACTGGAATGAAAACACATCTGGTTTACATGCACCAGTCTTTAGTACAACCTGCTCACGCAACAAGCTAACTATTCCCATATCTCAAGTGCTTGGTAACAGGTTTAATAGCGCCGCCATAAACCGCCGACTAACAAACTCTCCAGTGCATAGTAAAGATCTCATGTGCGCCACAGACAACATTCAACTGCATCAGCCTAGCAGCCAACTATCCTGATTGCACCGGCTATATCCTTCCTGCTAGAGCATTTTCCAGCATTCCATTCTCTCTTCTGGTGAGAACAAAATGCGAACAAAGAGGCGCATCTGTCGGTCGAAGGGCCGGCGAACATCGGCAGCACCCGGGACTACGTCACAAGCATTGCGGGGTGTCACCGTCTGCCGACCCTACTTCCATAGGTTCAATCGAACCCTAAAGATTGGACCGGTACGGCCCCAGTTCCACATTTGCCATATTGGCGGGTTTCAATGCTCCACGAGGCTGCAATCGAGTGAGCAAGTGGGCTGAGCATTGCCTCGATCACTCGATTCTAAAGAGGCACATTCAGCACTGCCTAGTTGCAGGTTGAAGATTGAATATTTCTCCGGTTGGCTTGTTCCTGGCGCTCTAGTATCTCTACCGGACCGATCGATCTACATTTGCTTTTTTGAAGTCAGACTCGTTACTTTGACGTCTAACGCATCGCACTGGTCTGTCTGCGAGTGCACTTCTGCCAGTTTCTGACTTGGTTATTGTGACACCACTTTCGACGAACGAAACGACGGGTTAAAGTACGGATTCTGTTCTGGTCCTGATACTTTTGTAAACTGCAACCTCAGTCTTAAAAGAGTTGGAGAACTGGAGTAGCCAAAATGGGATATTCGGTCAATCTTGGTCAGGGAGACGCGCGAATGACGGCCGTTGAGAAGTTGAGGGGCATGTTGGCCGATGCGGAGAAGTTTATTGCATGTCCAGGAGTGTATGATGGGTTCACGGCAAGAATTGCACTGAATGAAGGAGTGGATTGCTTGTATATGGTACGTTGATAAGTCAACTGTTACTTCTACCAGTCTCGTCCATGAAGCTCTATACATGTTCAATCTTTCCATAACTCAAGTACACCGCTAACAGCCAACACAGACAGGCGCAGGCACCACAATGTCTCGGCTGGGTATGGCAGACATGGGCATTGCAACCCTGAACGACATGCTCACCAACGCCTCCATGATCGCCAACCTCGATCCCTCCGTACCCGTAATCGCCGACGCCGACACAGGCTTTGGCAGCGCCATCATGGTCGGCCGAACAGTGACACAATATATTCGCCACGGCATTGCTGGCCTCCACATTGAAGACCAAGTGCAAAACAAGCGATGCGGCCACCTCAAAGGCAAACAAGTCGTCGACATCCAAGAGTTCGCTTCACGGATACGAGCAGCCTGCATGGCGCGCAAGCAAAGCGGATCCGACATCGTCATCATCGCACGCACAGACTCCCTGCAAGGCCACGGCTACGACGAAGCGATAAAACGGCTGAAGCGCGCCATCAACGAAGGCGCCGACGTTGCCTTTCTCGAGGGCATCGAGTCCGAGGCCGACGCCCGGCGGGCGTGTGCAGAACTCGCGCCTACCCCTTGTCTCTTCAACAACGTGCCTGGCGGTGTGTCGCCGGACTTTGGCGTCAAAGAGTGCAGGGATATCGGGTTCAAGCTTGCCATCTTTCCTTGTCTCGCCCTCGAGATTGTTTATCCCGCTGTGAGGCGGGCGGTCCGCGAGTTGAAGGAGACGGGCAATGTGCAGAGTCCCGAGAAGGATGGCAGGAGGATTAGTCCGAGGGAGTTGTTTAGGGTGTGTGGTATGGATGAGTTGATTGAGTTTGATGTGCAGGCTGGTGGCACGGCGTTTCAGGGTGGAGCTTAAGTAGGTTGGATTAGAGGCATGGAGGCCAGCTTATTAGCATTTTATAAAAAATCTCAACGAGTAACGATTTATAGAGTCTTTGTTGTTGAAAATACACTTGGGTATTTTTTTGCAATTTCTTTTTAGGGGCGGGGAAGAAGCAATGTACATATCATACAGAAACATACATATATAGCCAGATCACGTTCTTCACACACATTGGAACATGTATCTTCTGAACAACTCATATATATACTCCTAGTCAAACCCAGCAAATCCATTCTAGCACCACACATCGAACCCAATGTACCACCATACCTATCTATATAATGTGTACCTCGACGAAAATACATCAAAAACACATGAAATTCAACAAGGACATAGCAGCACATTTGAACTGTTGGATAGTGCATGTCCGGAACTCGGAAGCGCTCTGATTAGTCGTACAGAGTAATCTTCATCTACCGCGAAGATGGTCGACGTGGGGCAGATGCGGGGTATCTTCGAAGCTGGAAGCGTATCCACACAACTTCTTGTGCTTGTCTTCCGGAAACAGTTCGGGGATATCAGGTCATGAAAATTGGATCGCGGGTATATATCTATGTTACGCATACGACGCCAGTTCTGTTGGTAGGAACTTGAGCTTTGCACTTGCATTTTCCCATCCTATACCGGTACAGTTGCTTGCGCAGTACCTATCCCAACCAAACCTCCCTCGTGGCGAATTCATCTCCCCCTTCCCCCCAACACGTCAAGCCGCCAAAAATGCCAGACCAAATACCCACCTCGCAAACCGTGGCCTGGATCGAAAACCCGAGCCCAAGCTGCACCCTCCAGATCCGCAAAAATGCAATCGTGCAATCCCCGGGCCCCCACGAACTCCTCGTCAAGCTCGAATGCTCGGGCATCTGCCACTCCGACGTCATGAACGTGCTCGGACGCGGGAAATACACGGAGATACCCGGCCACGAGGGCGTGGGCACAGTGGTGCAGCTCGGCGCCGGAGCAGCGCAGAGTTTGCTGGGCAAGCGCGTGGGCGTCAAGTGGCTGTGGAGCGCGTGTGGCCAGTGTAGTGTGTGTAAAAAGGGATTCATCAATTATTGTCCTCGGCAGCGGAATACGGGGCGGACGGACTTGGGCACGTTGCAGCAGTATTGCCTCGCGCATGCGGATTATGTGACGGAGATTCCAGAGGGGGTGAGGAGCGAGGTGGCGGCGCCGCTGCTCTGTGCGGGTTTGAGTCTGGCGGGCGCTGTGTCGAGACTTGCGCCTGAAGTGCAGCCGGGTGATTCGGTGGTGATTTTGGGTGCAGGAGGGGGTCTGGGTCATATTGGTGTGCAGTATGCGAGTATCAAGGGGCTCAAGGTGATTGCGATTGATAGTGGTGCGGAGAAGGAGAAGCTTTGCGAGGAAATGGGTGCGGTTGCTTTCATCGACTACGCAAAGCAGGATGTTGCACAAGCGGTGAGAGATTTGACAGAGGGCGAGGGCGCGCACGCTGTCATTTGCGTCGCTGGCAGTGAACGAGCGTATTCGCAAGCCCCGGATCTTGTGCGAAATAGTGGCGTCATTGTCTGTGTGGGACTACCTCCGGATAACTTCATGTTTCCCATGTGTCCAAAGGTTATTGCTAACAGAGGTATGTACTGCTCTTTTCTTCATCTCGAGCTCCGAATCCTAATAATATCTACAGGCCTTGTTGTTCGTGGCTCCTCCACGGGAACGAATGAGCAGATGGATGAACTGCTTCAGCTAGCTCTGGAGGGAAAAATTACTCCAAAAGTCGAAGTCTATGACTTCGCCGATGCACCAAAGATCATTCAGGAGTTGGAGCGGTTCGAGGTGACGGGACGGAAAGTCGTGAGAGCGCCATGAAGACGGACGCAATAGGTTGAGTGTGTTGCTGTCGAGCATGTTGTAAAAGTGTCAAGCATAGCGGCGGTGTTGTGAGTTGGAGTTGTATATGAAAGGTGCAAGGTGATTTGAGCGTAGACAGCCTACAATAGATGTACATAACGGCCTGTGACCAAGCCTGCACTATTGCACCTCGTCAGGCTTGTCGTTCATAACGATTTGTGGAGAACACCATGTGATCTAGTGAGATCTGATTGTAATTGCTGAACAAGGCTTAAGGGCAGCGGTTCAGCGAGCAGACCATACGGATAGCATCTCTCTAGTACCAGTCGCCCCCATCCTCCTTCGCGACCACCTTCTCCGGGTTCATGCTGATGACTCGCTGTCCGGGTATAGTATCAGAAAAGGCACTCTCAAAAACGCCACTAATAGCCCGCCGTCCAATTTCCGCAAAACTATCGTACTGCGTGTTCTCCCCCACTATTGCAGACCATTCCGGGTCTGCTGGACTCCGCGCCGGACCTAGGTCGCTCCAACGCGTCGCAATGAGGGCCTGCTTGAAGCGCTCTGGGCCGTGACCCTTTACGCTCTTGTCCTCCACGAGCTTCAGTTCGAAGAGGTACTCGGTTGGACAGGCAGGACAGCGGCGCATGGGTCTGCAGCGACTACAGAGACTGACGAGGCCCACGCCTTTCTTTGCACGCAATTGCCTGATGCCGTACGTTTCGGACTCTGCGGTGAATGGGATGTGATCCAAAGCACATTTGGGGACAGATGTGAGGACCCCGTTTTTCCAATGCGAGCAGACACTGAAGTAGGGTGTATAATCGCCTCGGCTGAAGAGGAGCAGACGTTTTGCCGCATCCGTCATACCACCCTCGACGTAGTGTTGTGACCGTACCCTCATAAGAACATGTCCTTTATCAGTAATGTGATACATACTCTCATGGGTCCAGTCTGAGTATGCATCTTTCCACCGTCTAGCCAAGGATTGGTGCGACATGCCATAATTACTTCCGTATGCCCAAGTGCGTCGAGCCAATTGGGCAAACGCAAAGGGCAGCGTCCTTCCGTCGGTGATCCGTATTCGCGGTGGCGGCATGTGAACATTGGTGCTGTTTGGACACTCGAACAGCGGATTCAAAACGTTGTGGGGTTTAAGCGTTTCGAGCCCTGGCTGTGTGCGAAGGTGCCACTGAGCGCAAGGAAAGCAAAAGAGATGGCGCGGAAGTTTGCGATCCATGGTCAGGAGGAAGTCGAGGCTACTACTGCCAGTCCGGCACTGCCTCTCACGATATCT